ATTTTCTACAGACATACTCTATTTTTTCATAATTTCTGTATTTGTCTTCAGTTTTACCAGTAATGTTTCCATAAATGTCTTCCATTTCTTCATTAATTTTTCTGTGTTTGTCTTCATTTTTATCAATAATTATTTGATGTATGTCTTCAATTTTATCAGAAAATTTTCTAAGATCATGTTCAATTTTTTAAGGTTTTCTGTGTCAATATTTAATCAGAAATTGTTGTACATACATTTTTAATTGTTTCATTCTTTTTAAATATTTGTGTATATTCTTTTCATTATTTTTTTCATAAATATGTACAATATTTTCATAATTTTATCTATATTTCTCTTAATTTTTATGTGTAATTTTTTATAAATGTCTTCAATTTTTATTAATTTGTTCTATATTTATCTTTATTTTCTCAATAATTCTTCCATGAATGTATTGTTTTTCTAATTAATTTTTTTATATCTGTCTTCATTTTTTACAGTAATTTTTTAATGTATTTATGCAACTTTATCAGAATTTTTTTCAGGTAAATCTTCATTTATTTCAGAAAATTTTCTACAGACATTTTTGAATTTTCTTATGAATTTTTTTATATTTGTCTATATCTTTATCAGTCTTTTTGCCAATAAATGTCTTCAATATTTTCATAACTTTTATATTTCTCTTCATTTTTATCTGTAATTTTTCATTAATGTCATTTTTAAAATTTGTTCTATATTTGTCAATTTTAACTGTAATTCTTTCATGTCTCCAAATCATCAGAAATGTTTTTCATGTCATTCTTCAATTTTGTTAGAAATGTTTCTACAGACATTTTGAATTTTTCACAATTTTATATTTGTCTTCAATTTTATCAGTAAGTTTTTGATAGATGTCTTCAATTTTATCAAATTTTTCTAAAAATATCTTCAATTTACTTTTTTAAAATTTTCTCCATGTAAACCTATAATTTTATCAAAATTATTTTACAGACATTTTCAATTTCTTAAATTTTTTTCTATATTTGTCTATATCCTTTATCTGTATTTTTCCATGTCTTCAAGATTTTCATAATTTTTTTCTAAACTTGTCTTCATTTTTATCTGTAATTTTTCCATAATTGTCTTCAATATTTTCATAATTTTTTTATATTTGTCCTCATTTATATCAGCAAATTTTCATGCCTTAAATTTTATCAGAAATTATTCCATGTCACTTTTCAATTTTATCAGAAATTTTTCTTCAGAAAGTTTCAATTTTTTCATAACTTTTTTCTATATTTGACATCATTTTCTATAAACAATTTCTCCAAATTTATCAGGACCTTTTTCTATATTGGCCTTCATTATTATCAATAATTTTTCGATATATGGCTTCACATTTATAGGAAATCTTTCCACCTAAATATTAAATTTATCAGAACTTTGTCTACATAAGTTTTCTATTTTTTTCATAAACTGTATCTATATTTGTCTTTAATCTTATCAGTAATTTTTTGATGTATGTCTTCAATTTGATCATAAAATTTTCAAGACATTTTCAATTTTTCATGAAATTTTTCTATGTTCATCCTCATTTACATTAAATTTTTTCTAGCATGTTTTCATTTTTTATAAATATTTTCTGTATGTCTTCATTTGTTAGTAATTTTTCCATGAATATCTTCAAATTTATCGAATTTTTTCTACATCCTTATTATTATCAGTAACTTTCCATGTTTTTAAATTTATCAGAAATTTTTTGATGTAAAATTTCAATTTTATCAGAAACATTTTCCCAAATATTTTCAAAATTTTCTATATTTGACTTCATTTTTATCAGTAATTTTTATATAAATAACTTCAATTTTTCATGATTTTTTCTATATTTCTCTTCATTTTATCAGTAATTTTTGATGCATTTTTATCAGTAACTTCTTTCCATGTCTTCAAAATATTCAGAATTTTTTTTGATGTAAATATTCAATTTTATTAGAAATTGTTATACATCCAGTTTTTAAATAAATTATTTCTATATTTTTCTTCAGTTTTATCAGTAATGTTTCCATAATTGTCTTTCATTTGTTCATTAATTTTTCTATGCTTGTCTTCATTTTTATCAAAATTTTTTGATGTCTTTAAATATACAATACATTTTCTAAAATCTTTAGGGATTTTTTTTTCCAAGTTAATTTTCAATTTTGTCAGAAAATTTTCTAGACATTTTCAACTTTTTTCATGAGATTTTTCTGTTTGTCTTCATTTATATGGGTATTTTTTCAGCAATGTCTTACATTTTTTTTTTCAAAGATTTATTTATTTATTATATATGAATACACTGTAGCTGTCTTCAGACACACCAGAAGAGGGCATCCGATCTCATTACAGATGGTTGTGAGCCACCATGTGGTTGCTGGGATTTGAACTCAGGACCTCTGGAAGTGCAGTCAGTGCTCTTAACCACTGAGCCATCTCTCCAGCCCAATGTCTTACATTTTAAAAAACATTTTGTATCTTTGTCTTCAATTTTTTCAGTGAAATTTTGATGTCTTAAACGTTATCAGAATTTTTTTTCAGGTAAATCATCAATTCTATCAAAAATTTTTCTACAGACATTTTCAATTATTTCATAATTTTTTCTGTATTTGTCTTTATTTTTATCAGCAATTTTTCCATATATGTCTTCAAATTTATCAGAAATTTTTGATGTAATTATTCAATCATATCAGAAATTTTTCTACAATAGTCTTCAAAGTTTTAAGAAACTTTTTCCATGTCAATCTTCAATTTTATCAGAAATCGTTCTAATGACAGTTTCAATTTTGTCGTAAATTATTTCTATATTTGTCTTCAGTTTCATCAGAAATTTTTCTGTATTTTCAATTTTTTTCATACATTTTTCCACATTTGTCTTCATTTTAATCACTGATTTTGGCATATATATCTTCTAATAGATCAGAAGTTTTTTTGATGTAAATGTTTAATTTTATCTGAAAACTTTCCACAATAGTCTTCAAATTTTTAAGAAATTTTTTTCTATGTCAATCTTAAATTTGATCAGAAACTGTTCTAGACATTTTCAATGTTTTCATATTTCTATATTGATCTTCAGTTTTATCAGTAATTTTTCCATAAATGTCTTCAGTTTTTTTATTAATATTTTTTACATTTGTCTTCATTTTTACCAGTAATTTTTTGATGCATTTTTATCTGTAATTTTTCTATGTATGTCATATTTACCAGAAATTTTTTCAATGTGAATATTCAAAATCAGAAATTTTTCTGCAATAGTCTTCAAAATTTAAAAAATTTTTTTTCTATCTTAATCTTTATCAGAAATTGTTCTACATTTTCATAAATTGTCTTCAGTTTTCTCAGTATTTTTTCCGTGTCTTCTTTTTTTTCATTAATTTTTCTATATTTGTCTTTATTTTTATCAGTAATCTTTTAATGTATGTCTTCAATTTTATCAGGAAATTTTCTAAAATCATGTTCATTTTTTTAAGAAATTTTTTTCCGTGCCACACTCTGATTTAATCAGAAAGTTTTGTACAGACATTTTCAATTTTTTCCTAAAAATTTTAACATTTGTGTATACTTTTAATCAGTACTTTTCTGTAAATATCTTCAATATTTTCATAAATTAACATTTGTCAATTTTAATTTTTATTAAAATTCAATTTTTATTAATTTGTTCTGTATTAATCTTCATTTTTCTCAGTAATTTTTCCATAAATGTCTTCCATTTTTTATTAATTTTTCTATATTTGTCTTCATTTTTATCAGTAATTTTTTGATATATGTCTTCAATTTTTCAAAAAATTTTCTAGAATCACCCTCTTTTAACAAAATTTTTTCCATGTTAATTTTCAATTTTATCGTAAAATTTTCTACAGAAATTTTCAGTTTTTCATGAATTTTTACTGTTTGTATTCATTTATTTTAATAATTTTTCTAGCAATGTCAATTTTTATAAATATTTTGTCTTCAATTTTATCAGTAACTTTTTGATGTATGTCTTCAATTTTTTCAGAATTTTTTGTCTTCACTTTTATCAGTTATTTTTCCATAAATGTCTTCAATATTTTCATACATTTTTCTATATTTGTTTTCATTTATTATCAGTAATTTTTCCATGAATACCTACAGATTTATCAGAAAAATTTTTGATGTAAATATTCAATTTTATCAGAAAATTTTCTATAATAATCTTCAAATTTTTAGGAAATTTTTTCCATGTCAATCTTCAATTTTATCAGAAATCATTCTACAGACATTTTGAATGTTTTCCAAAATTATTTCTATATTTGTCTTCAGCGTTATCAGTAATTTTTCCATAAACATCAGTTTTTTTCATTAATTTTTCTATATTTGTCCTCATTTTCATCAGTAATATTTTGATGTATATCTTCAATTTTATCATATTATTTTCTAAAATCATCTTCAATTTATTTTTTTAATTTTCTCAGTGCCAATCTTTAATTTTACCAAAAATATTTTACATTTTTCAATTTTTTCAAACTGAAGTTTTACATTTGTCTATATTTTTATCAATTTTTTTCACAAATGTCTCAATATTTTCATAAATTTTATTTATATTTGTCTTCAATTTTTATGTGTAATGTTTTTCATAAATGTTTTCAAATTTTATAAATTTGTTCTATATTTGTCTTCAATTTTATCAGTAATTATTTGATGAATGTCTTCAATTTTATCACAAATTTTTCTAAAATCATCAATTTATTTTTTAATTTTCTCAATGTCAACCTTTATCAAAAATATTTTACATTTTCAATTTCTTCATAAATTTTTTCTATATTTTTATCAGTATTTTTCCATAATTTTCTTCAATATTTTCATAATTTTTTCTATATTATCTTCATTTTTATAAGTGATGTTTTTCATGAATGTCTTCAATTTTATCAGAAATTATTCCATGTCACTTTTCAATTTTATCAGAAATTTTTCTACAGACATTTCCAATTTTTTAAATAAATTTTTTGTATTTGTCTATATTTTTATCAGTATTTTTCCATAAATTTCTTCAATACTTTCATAAATTTTATTTATATTTGTCTTCATGTTTTATCAGTAATGTTTTCAGAAATGTCTTCAATTTTTATTAATTCACTTATAAATACGTGACAGCTGTAAAGGTTCACCCATGGTACACTGGCTAGGACAGAAACAACTGCAGTGAGCCAAACCCAAGAGCAGATTAGGACACATCCTGACAGAACAAGTAATTTGAGGAAGTTTATCAGCCACTTGGTGTAGAGAACATTAGTATAGCAAGTTCAGGTTTCCTACATCTGGTCACCTCTCCTGAAGAAAGACAGACAGCTCTTCCTGATTGCATATCAGAGTGCTCTCAGGGGCCTCAAAGACGGTCTCAGTAGACTCCACGTGTGCTCAAGGGTTTGCATTTAAGAAGTTCTAAGCACTAATCTTTTTTGTTCAAAATTTTCCTTCTAAACCCTTCAATTGCTGGCTGTTCCCTCCTCACCCACTGGTTCAATGTTCATGAGGCAAGTTTTGCTGAGGAAATTCCATTCCTTAAGAGACTGTCGTGGACAGACCTTTTAGGTGTTAGTTCCTGCAGATAATTTCCACAAATACCCCAAAACACACCTTTATATATATTTTTTCTTTTTAAAAATATTGATTTTTTTTTTTTTTAGGTGGCTACTGTCCATTTATATGACAGTGGCTGTTGAGCTACATGAAGGGTTTTGGTTCATGGAGGTTGCTGTGCGGAACGTGTAGCAGACATCATCCAGCTCTGGGATCAGTGTGGAGAAAATCCAGTTGCCAGGCTGCAGCCCACCACAGGAGTCATATCCCATATCTACAAGGAAGGCATATGGAGAAGGAACACTTACCATGGGGTCTAATATCAATAGTCAGTACTGAGAGCTTTGTCTTTTTTGGCTAGAAAACTTCCTTAGGACTCATATGCAAATAAAGCAATGTAAGCAATGTAGTTTACTAACTACATTAAAAACAAAACACCCCCCAAACAACACCAACAAAAGATTTCTAGGTAGCATTTTGAATCCTGAAAACAATGTTTTACTGTAATGTATAAGAATATAAACTATTTGTTTCACAACTCAACTAAGTATAAACATTTACTTTCAACTTCTGATTGTGATCTAGGGAATTAATTTAAAAATGTGATTATTCCTTACAAATAGGACAGGATGCAAAGGAACATTTATATTATCCAAGAAGAAAGGAAAGGCTATAGAAAAAGAGTAACAAAGACTCAAGACAGATGGGAGGAGAAACTCTCAGGCCAGCTCAAAATCCACAGGTTCCAAGAGACACCCTGCCCTCACTATCATGGGGTCCACAGTGAGTCCCCATCGGGGTTAGAAAATCACAAATATCTGCATTGTCATTCAGGGCTTTGAACAGGCAATTAATAGATTATAAAAAGCAAAGGCAAATGACAATGGTATTAGAAATGCCTTGAAGCCCATTCATAGTATGAGGCTAGCTTTATCTCAGCTCAGATGCTAACAGGCCAGCTTACCTTTACAACACGATCTGTCCCACAGGTCACCATCAGTCCCCTCGCAATGTCCATGGACATATGGGAAATGTTATGTTTTCCTTCATGAAAAGTTGCTAGAGAAGTCCGGCTAACAAAGAGAAAGACAGTTGAAATGTACTGACTGTACCCAGGCCAAAAAGAGGCAATCCTTTAGCAATAGGTGGCTTACACACAATAATGGTGTTAACATTATCTTTTAAAAATATAGCAATTGTTTTCTAATTAAAGGGGTACAGAAAGCAAGATAATAAGAAGGCTGTACAAAAGGTTTCAATGGTAGAAGCTTTGGTCCCAAAGCCAAGACTTCAAAAAGATTAAGACACTCAGCATAAAAAATAACGTATTATTTCCACTGGAAAGACTGGTGCGCAAACATAAAAACATGAACCTGTAGCATGAAGAAAGAACAGCACAGGAAGAGATTGTGAGCACTGATGTAGAAAATGATGCCAACGAACGTCAGCCACTGTCAGAGCCATGGTGCAGCCCTCCCTTCCTTAGTGCACCACCCATCGGGGGTGGGGACGCAGGTCTCTGCCACTGCAGCCATGGCTCAGGAGAAAGGAAAAATAACAGTGATTTTCTCCTACAGGATCTGCCCACATCAGGAAATGTCTGATGAAGTGATATGAGACCATCTGAAGAAAGAGCACAGGTCTTTCCAGTCTTCCCCATAACTAAGTTGGCATGAGTGGACAAAAGTCAGCCAGCTCAGTTGCTGCTGTCCACTTACACAGGGCTATGTCTCTGCGGAGCCCTGTGCGATGGGCCTGTCAGCTGCAGGACTACTCCTAGCGACCCTCACGGGTACTCAGAAAAAAAATCTGTCCCAGACAGTCAAGCACAAAGTGGCATAAAGCTAGGACAGAAATTTCTCTTAAAATGGTTCATGTGGATTGATGAGGTGGCTCAGTGAGGTAAGGTACTTTCCCACCAGTCTGATCCTTAAGAACCATAGGGTAAAAGGAGAGATTCCTCAAGTTGTCTTTGAACCTCCACACATGCCCAACCCATCCATGAATAAATGTAATTAAAAACAAACAAACGAACATTTCAAGAGACATTCCAAAGAGATAAGCATATGGGCAGAAACCTCTCTAGAACCTTCTCGGGCTGCCTGTATTTAGATGCCCATCAGACAGAGAGGGCAGGATGCAGTAAGACAAAGACCGGCAGGCACTCACTCCTCGTCTTTGATGGAGTCGTAACAGGAATCACAAACTCGAACCTGGAACTCAAAGCCCATGACGGGGTAACTGGACCGCTTGCTGCTGCACTTCCCACAGACGGCCTTCCCACACTTCCTGCAGTGATGCTTTCAGGGTGGAGGAGGGAGACAGGAGTTAGCTTTATGTTCATGTAAAAGCAGGGAGAATGTGCTTGATAAACCCCCAAATCCACTGCATCATCACTGACGCTTGTGACACATGATTTTCCCAATAGGCAAGGGTCTTCAAATAAAAATTCTTCCTTGTTTGCTAGACAACAGCTGTGTCTGTTGGTCCACACTGTCAGGCTCACAAAGAGCAGCAGTGTTCAAACCAAACCCAGGCCCTTTTAGGAAACTAACGGCTGAAGATTCTGGCAAGAAAAACCTATTCCTCCTTCAAAGAAAAAATTTAAAGTGAGTTTTCAATAGTCTTGATGGAGGAATAATGTTCTTTTGACTCTTTAAGCTCTGATTCAGGAAATAAGCTCCAAAACTTTCCAGGACACTCCAATTATTACTACTGAGTGTAACAGCCTTTAACCACTCTGTCTGTCTGTCTGTCTGTCTGTCTATCTATCTATCTATCTATCTATCTATCTATCTATCTATCTATCTGTTTCTTTCTCTCTCCTATTACTAATGCATAAGAGAAAATTCATTCTTTGGTGTGTTCTTTGGAAGGTCTACTTCACCAGCTATAATGTGCTGGTCACTGCTGCACAAGCATCACACAGACTCGGCTACTTCAGAGCATTTCAGGGTAATAAGAAATAAAAGAAGCCCACCACTGGCTGCCAGGCTGGACGGGGCCTTACTGGGGAGCAGTTCTTTGAGTGAAAGCAAAGAAAACTTAGTAACACACACGAATGCTAGGCTAATCCCTCACCAACGGTGAACAATCACCACACTCTCATACAGCGCCCCCAATTCATGCTCAGCCCGATGCATTTCACAGCAGGACTTAGGCATCGAATGAGTAGCCAGTGCTATCAGCGACTCAAACAGGCTACTGGGGGCAAGTTTCTCAGTTAAAAAAAAAGTAAGCTATTTGAGAAAGTCTTAATGAAAATGGTCCAGGTGTACTATACAGGCCCAACTCGAAAGGAGCTAATAGTCACAGGGGCAGAAAGCACCCTGGGAGGGCCGTCACTTGTTAGTAAAGGTTTAGGGCATATCACTACATTTCCTCATTTATTCTAATTTTAGTCTTGGCTACTATGAAACACTGACTTTACTAGGTACTAGTCTTAAATGCAAGCAAGTTCTGTAGTTTAACAACAGATTCTGTGGCTTCTCCAGGCACCCTGAGTTTTCCAATGCAGGACAAGCAGTGGAACAGTGAGGGAAGAGGCCTCCCGGGCCCCAGGACAGGCCACGCTCACAGTCAGTCACATGGCAGTGATATATAAAAAAAAGAGTAACCACATTTGTAAGAACAAAGTATGATTTTCTAAAAATTCAAGTTAATGATAAAAATGATGAGATACAAAATTCTTCCAGAAGGAGTTAACACTGGCTACTCACCTGCCTCAACCCCAACGTCTTCGTGTCCCACATCTGCTTTATATTCCAGAAGAAGGGCTGCTCACACTTCTGACAGGAATCACTTTCTAACCATTGAGGAGCCTGGGGGCAGCAGGGAGGCAAAGCCAACATCCATGTGTTAACACTTGCATTTCGGACAATAGTATAGAGTTCTACAACGTTCTGCAGTTGTTTCTTTTAAATTCCACAATGTATTTTAGCTGAGGTTCCCATGATCAATGTTTAGATTTTCTCTTGTTGTTTTGATATGGCTGGCGGCTTTTAGGAAACAGTCTCACTATATAGTCTGGCTGGCCTGAAATCTGTAGCAACCCTCCTGCCTCAGCCTCTCAAGAGCTACAATTACAGGTGTGCACTACCATCCCCAACTCATGCTTGTTTTTTGACTGTGACAATTTAAGCAGTGCTTATAGGGTCATACAATTTGTAACCTACACATAACAGAATAGTTAGAATCTTTAATATATATTACATATTTCTTTGTTTATGCTAAAGTTACCTGAAATCTATATCCACTTGGATCAACACCCATTTCTTGTTTTTGTTTTTAAATATTTATTTATTTTATGTATATGAGTATATTGTAGCTGTCTTCAGACACACCAGAAAAGGGCATCAGATCCCATTACAGATGGTTGTGAGCCACCATGTGGTTGCTGGGAATTGAACTCAGGACCTCTGGAAGAACAGTTAGTGCTCTTAACCACTGAGCCATCTCTCCACACACACACTTTCTTTTCTTGTTTAGCCTGAACTACCTCCTGGAAATGTTTGTAGGATCACTGTAAGACAGAGCAGCAAAACAAACTTCTCATTGCTGTTTGGTCATTGCATCAGACAGATTCACAGCTTCCTCCCGATTCTGCGCAGGCCTCGGGAGCAGGTCCACTCCCCCACCACTGAGCAGTGAGCTTTGCCATTCCCTTTCCTCACACTGACCAACGAGCATGCTGTCTATGTTCATAAACTGCCACCTGCCACACGGCTCTTCTCAATGCATTTTTGTTGAAACAAGACACTTATTAGGAATGTAGAAAGCGAGAGATAGAAAGTATACTTGCTTCTAAGACAGGTGTTTAGCACTTGGTGGTACAGGGATATAATAAAAATGGTAGCAATGACTATTTTCTATGAGTGAATCCAAAGGTCATGGGATAAAAAAATCATTTTCTTGATCCTACAGGGAATCAGTGTTCAACCTCCTTAGTGAAGGGCTGAGTATGGTAAGAGCTTTGATGGGAGACTTTCTCCTGTTCACAGGCTCCAGAAACCTGCTTCATTTCACAGACAGACACCCTGCTGAATTCTCATTATCCTTAGCGCTAACTGTGAACTTGGCTATTAATGATAAAAGTATATCTCTCTCCCTCCCTCGCTCTCTTTTCAAGACAGGGTTTCTCTGTGTAGCCCTGGTTGTCCTGTAACTCATTCTCTAGACCAGGCTAGCCTCAATCTTAAACAGTGGAATGCAGGCACAAGGGAGGTGTGCCCAGTTCGGACATTTCCCTCAAAATGCCATCCTTTAGGAGGGCTCAGCATTTGAAGAACTCTGCTTAGTTACCTGACATTCCTTTCACATGTTAGTCAAACAACCTGTCAACGGATTCCCAGACATCTGAGAATGCTTCCAAGTGACTCAATTTGAATTCTCCATTTCTTTCTCACAGTCAGAGTGGTTTCAATAGCTCAGCCTCAGGGTCAGATCCAAACGTGTCAACCCTAGCTTCCCACTTCATAGCTCTGTCCCGTTTCCTCATCTGGTATAGTCCTTGTAAGGCTGTATGACTAAGAGGATATGAATGTGTAAGTGTTTGCAACAGTGTCTGATGTACAAAGGAGCCATAAGTCCCAGCAATACACAGCACTTCATGTGCTTAAACACACTGAATCTATGCAGCAAGCCTGGGGATCTAGAACACCACTGCTGCCATTGTGCAGACAATGGAACCATGGCTTACAGCCTGGAGCAACTGTCCACAGTCAGACAGAAGTTGAAGACCACAGGAAATCTAGGAGGCTAGTCTATCTTTCCTGACAGGCCACCATGCTCCCCACAGCCTGTGAAAAAGGGCTCTATTCCATTTATGACACAGGGTCTCAAAACTTGGGACTGGGAAGTGATAGCTGAGCTCTGGCCTCAGAGAGCCATGGTTAAGAAGACAGCATATTATGTTGTTGAACTAAAGGGCAGAAGACCACAAGAGAAGGAAAAAAATACGCTTTTAATATATTGAGATATCAAACAATAATCAGTGCATAAATAAGCATGTATTTTGGAAAAATTTTGAAATAAAAAAGTCATCATTTTATTTTGTTCATACTCAGAAGTGGTATTAAGCCCTAAGTTAGTACGAGCCATTTGGCTCCGAGAGTGCTTTCTATGGAGAACAGGGGTTGTTTGCACTGAGAAGAGCAAAGCCGAGCAGAGGACAAAGCTCAGCTGCTGACTGCTTGCCCAGGATGGAGGAAGCCCTGGGTTGGTTTGATCCCTAGCACTGCAGAAGTCGGGTGTGGTGGTGCATGCCTATATACCATTCCATCGCTCAGGCAGTGAAGCCAAGGAAGACCAGGAGGCCAAGGCAACGCTCAGGCCACATACAGAGTCGCAGGCTGGTGTGGGTTACATTTCTGTCTTCAGAAAGAGGTACAATGAGGGGATGGTGGACCAGGGCCTAGCCGCCCACACTAGGCAGATGCTCTACCACTCCGCAGCATTCTCAGCCCAGAGAAGAGGGGATTATCTAAGCACTGACTTCTATCTCTTTCCTACATCCTGTTCCTTCTGTCTAATATGAACAGAGAAAAAACATTAATAATCCCACTTCATTACTGCCACTGACTGCTAACTCATCTGCACTGTATGATAGAAAGTACAGCATTCTACATTCTGAAGTCTGCTTGCTTAAACATTCTCCGTAACTATAATTATTTGTTCACTCATACGTCTTACTTCCCAAAAGGACCAGCCCTAATTATACTCTGTCAGGGAAGCAAATATGGTCTATTGTGGGAGGGGGCTCATTAGTCATGGGGGCCTAGAAACAGCCCAGAGACACTCCAGGTGAGCAGTGTGGAGCTGGAGAACTGTGCTTTATCCCCTGGCTGCTGGCTAAGGAAGACCTGGACACTGGACGGATCCCTGACAGGGCCAGACCTCACAGGTGGCAGGCTGCTCACCTTTGCATGACATTTCCCTAGCTAAGAAAAATCAGTATCTACTAAAAATAATGCCTCTTTTATTATAATTTGCTCCCTGCTTCCTTAGATGACTAACAGGAAGTCATTTCTGCCACACAGGAAGCACCTTGATAGACAGGACTATATTTTTCTTTTCCTACATGCACAATTATAGTTCACCGTTACATAATCTGAAGGAAGGGTACTGTTCCCACTTTCTGACTGCACTTTCTGAAAGACTGTACAAAGGGATAAAAAAGGTGGGGTGAAAGCAGAGTAGTTAAACCCCTGAGAGAATCCCGACAGCTGTGCCCGGCTATGCAGGAAGTGCATCCTCCCTGATGAGAATGATAGACCCAGGACCCAGGACCCGGGACCCAGGAAGCAGGAAACAGATTGGCACACCAGCTATTCCTGGTGCGTATAGCTAGAGGCTGAGAAACATAGAACACAGTCCTAGCAGACCTCTTGCAAGGAAAGCCCTATCATGCAGCAATACAGAGCTGGGACTAAGGATGTGGTGCAACACACCACTCCAAGCCCTACCAAAAGATTTTTAGAACACATAAAACCAGAAGTTAATCAGCAGCCATGTATCTAGAGTTTCCTGTTTGGCTTGCCACACAAAGCTGCCAGGAAACCTGGCAGTTAGAATACCTCTTAATTAGGCAGCACATTTTATCAGTTATGGAGCTGGCTGTCTATTTTCTTTACGGGATGGCAAGTTTCTTGTGGTAAGAAGCCAAACTGTTTCCTATAGACTGAACCCCCTGATTAGTACTTATGGGACATAATAAATACTAAAGTTTCTTCAGTGAGAATCGTAGATATTATGAAGCAACACAAAGCAGGGGCTTACAGGGTGGACTCGGGATTAACGCAACACCCACTGTGATGGCACAAATGGTGCACTAAACCACACAACTACTATAGGACAGTACAGGGAATATGTTTGACATCTTATAACACATACTATAACAATGCAGAATCAAAAAAGATAGAAAAGAAAAAGAAAACAAAACTCATTCACCAGAAGCGTGTAGGAGCCTTGTTATACAAGCATGAAGAGCCGAGTTCAGATCCACAGCTTTCTCATAACAGCCAGACATAGTCACACACCTAGAACTCCAGTGAGGGGTGATCACGAGAGAGGCAGGATTGCTTGGACTTGCTGTCCAGCCAGCCTAGCCAAAACCTGTGAATTCTAGGTTCAGTGAGAGACCATCCTTTTTTCTTTTTTTTTCTTTCTTTCTTTCTTTTTTTTTTTTTTTGTTTTGTTTTGTTTTGTTTTTCGAGACAGGGTTTCTCTGTGTAGCCCGGGCTGTCCTGGAACTCACGCTGTAGATCAGGCTGGCCTTGAACTCAGAAATCCACCTGCCTCTGCCTCCCAAGTGCTGGGGATTAAAGGCATGCGCCACCACCGCCAGGCTGAGAGACCATTCTTAAGGGATAGAGCAGAGAGGATATATCAGGGCTCTTGATGTCATCCTTTGGCCTCTACACATGCATCTGTATGGGCACATGTGTGCATGTGCGTGTGCATGTGCATGCACATTTAACACCAAACCATTTAGCATGTGCTTTCCTCTAAGCTGTCATACAGTATGGCCACCCTGTAAGTGCCCAGTAATGTTTCTGAAGTGGATCTGTCTTTAGATCCACTTCTGCTTCCACCATTACAAGCCATAGATGTCACTGAGCAAAGACAGACCTCACAGGTGCCAGCAGAGATGAGCAGGAGATCCTGCCTGGAAACCGTCTGATAACAGCTATAAAAAGCCTATGGATGTACACATCCCTCTACCAGATTTATTTTCAGAAATTTGCATGGCATGCATAATTGAAGAGCCTCATGATGGCAGGTCAAGCGGAGTCACTGCGGTGCCACTCAAGTGAGCAGACGATTAGACTCTACAGAAATGGAAGCACCTTACACATCCTCTCAAGCAATGATTTCATGTTATAGGAAAGGAAATAGATAGCCAGAGACTAAAACACTTATCTAGACTTATCCACACTAGTTAGTGGCTCGAAGAAATTTAAAACTCAGATTGCCTTTAAAGAAAAATGTATCAGTTTGAACTCAGTAGAAGACAGCACAATGTAAAATAGAAACAGAGAACAGAGGTGCATTTTCCCCATGATGACAACTGCCTGGCTATGTATGCCCTGTGACATCCTTCTCAGGTCTTCCAAGCTGCAAAGCTCTGGAGCTACATGAACACTTCGGAAGGCCTCCAGGAATTCAAATCCATGGATGAGCTAGAATGCTACTGGTTACAAAGAGTCCTCCAAGCTGATATTCAACCTAAATGCTTCCCATCTGCTTAGACTGTTTATCAATGCCAGAAACTCTCACCTAGGACAGAATATTGTACAGTAGAGATGGCTGGAGAGATGGTTGAGTCAGCAAAGTGCTTCCTATGAGCTCATATCTCAGGCGCTCACCCAAACAGTCAGACATGGTGCTATACGCCTGTGATCCCAGTACTGGAGAGCTGGAGACAGGTAAATCCATGGAGTTCTTGGCCAACCAATCTAGTCAAATCAGTGAGCACCAGACTTGGTGTCTCACATACCAAGATGGAGAGAAGAAGACACCCAGTTTTGACCTCTGCCCTGCACATGCACATGAAACCTGCATCCATGCATATATACACGAACACAACACACACACATCGTATTTACATATATATGTACACACATGCACACATACAAGTAAAAGAACTTAATTTGAAAAAGGTTTAAAAGACAGGCTAAACTTTGTTAGGCAATAATCCGTAGGCAGAGCAGTGGGAAAGCCGGGGTCTGTTCACACCTCAGCCACCTTCCTGCCTGCAAGGTGAAAATCTGAAAAGCCAGAGTGAAAAGGAGAGCTGAAAAGCTCTCCTCTGACCTGCCCACCCTCCTGCCCACCTACTAAGATCTTGCTTCTTACCTCTTCTCTGCTAACATCCATGTTCCACACTGCGATGCCACCGTCCACCGAGCAGGAGACGAGTTGCCTTGTAAGCTGCAGGTAGCACAGTGACTGCACCCTGTCACTGCAAATGACACAAGCCACATGTCAACAGAGAAAAACCAGAAGCTTGTCCCTGGAGCTCAGCTCTTTGCCTTCCTTCTATTACTGGCTGTGGCTCTATCACTATTTATTTGGTGAGGTAACGAGGACTGTATCATGAACCTCACCCAGCATTCATTAATACATTATCCATGTAATTACCATGAGTAGAGACAAATAAATAATGCCACTCCTTTTGGATCTGGCACTTAAACAAGTTGGAATGGGTGAAAAAACTGCAGATATGTTTGTCCGTCACCACAATCTATTTACTTATTCAAAACCAAAACGGAATGTCACGCCTACTGAAACTCAGCTCATATGAAGAAGTTGTGAGATCATGAGGACTATGAACAGCCATCTGCACACACAGCCACAGGAGACACACGTGCACAAACGGGTAGGAGAACTCTGCCCTCTTCCTGAAGGCTCTCAGACCCAGGTGCCAGGCAAGTAATCTCCTGACCTATTAACTTTGGCATCTAGTTTTTTCCTGGCTAAATTTCAACTTGATTCTAATTACAGTAAACAGCTATGGTCTGACCAGCAACAAGGAAGAAAGAAAAATGGGGTGAGGGGGTAAAGGAGGTGCTGCTTTTCAAAGGCTAGAAGATACACCCTAAGTATTACAATGTCAGAGCTTAAGTGGCTATGGCTGCCGATATACACATTACTTTTTGATGCAATACATCTTAGGTTTTAATAAAATGCTCATGTCTCCAGTGCCTCTTTTTTTTCCTTCCTTTTTTTTAAAGATTTATTTATTTACTTTTTATGTATATGAGTATAGTGTAGCTGTCTTCAGACATATCAGAAGAGGGCATCAGATCTCATTACAGATGGTTGTGAGCCACCATCTGGTTGCTAGGAATTGAACTCTGGACCTTTGGAAGAGCAGTCAGTGCTCTTAACCGCTGAGCCATCTCTCCAGCCCCTCATATCTCCAGTGAAGGAGCAGCCCAGTACTTTAGTACACACAACCTGCCATGATCAAAGTTTTCAAGTCCAGTCTCAAATCCATGTAGCTACTCACTGGGAGAGAAGAGTGGTGACCTCTTTGGACTAAGAAGGAAGAACACCTTACATGCCATTTTCTTTTTACTAAGGATTGGCAGAAGCAGTTAAAGTGAATTCAGTCCGATCAGGCTGCTGCTATCTTGCACGACAGGACAGAGTACCAGTGCCCTCCCCTTGTGCCTCTGATTTCCCTTCCAAATGGTGACATACTGGTGGCCCTGGAGGAGGAGTGTCCGGCCTTTCCGTCCCCCGATGTCCCACATGATGACACTGTTATCGGATGCTCCTGAGAAGAGTAACCGTTGGATAGGGTCCCACCAAAGGCAGGCGATACTACCTAGGGATGTAAAGAGGGGTCAAACAGAACTCAGCATCAGGACACACAGGCTTGACTGTGGGAAACCCAACCATCAGCTGAGCCTTTGAGTAAAACATCTATCTTGGCATACAAAGGGTCATTCAAACCACAATCGCATGAGTCATGGAGAAAACACTGTAAATCCATTATCCAAACTTGGAAGTTGAAGATTTCTGAGCCACACAGCTCTGAATACAAAGGCCTTTTAAGTTTTTCCTTGTTCTGTACCAATAATTTATAAAGTAGCTAGATAAAAAACATCAATTCACAAAACTTCTGAAGAGGAAAAAAAATCCCAATATGTCATGAATAAACACGCACAGTTTGTGGTGCACATTTTATGCAAGATACAAATCTAGGTCACTCCTGACCCACGAGACTTTATAGACATTTACCCTAAGATGTTTTGAAAATTATTGCCTCAAGAAAAAAAGTAAGTTTACCAAGTAAATATGCCAAAGAAGTTTAAAAAGAAAGAGAAAGAAGGAAAGAAAGAAAAAAGAAAAGAAAGAAAGAAAGAAAGAAAGAAAGAAAGAAAGAAAGAAAGAGAAAGAGAGAAGGAAGGAAGGAAAGAAGGAAAGGAAGGAAGGAAGGAAGGAAGGAAGGAAGGAAGGAAGGAAGGAAGGAAGGAAGGAAGGAGGAAAGAAAGACTCAGTCTTTATACTCCACACACTGCTAACTTATCAAATTGGATTCCCTTGGGAAAATTTTTTTGTTTCTAGAGATTTCTCTTGCAGAGGTGTCTTCAGTTGTTACTACTGATCTAGGCACTAGCTGCTAACAAACAGTAATAGTGAGCCAGTGATGTGCCAATAATCCTCCTGGAGGTATTCAGAAGTGAAGAGGTCACATGCACAAGCAAGTAAGAAAAGCCAGCTTCTCACGTAAACTTTCTCAAAACAGAATAAAAGTGAAGGACAAAGCAAAAAGTAGTTGGCAAAATAAGCTTAGTGGCCCTATTTTTTTTTTCCCCATGAATTGTGTTGAATCCTATGGCCCTCATGTGTCAGTCAGCAGCCTAAATCATAGATAAACACACTGATGATGCTGAAAACCACCAAGTAGTTTTAGCACCCATTCTGCTGTCAGAAGCTCAGAGACCCTGAAGGACCAGAGGTCATGAGAGACTCTGCCATGCTTGGGAGGGGCTGCGATGGGAGCCTTGCTTCTCTGCAACAGAGTTTCTAAGTTTTTTTCAAAGCATCGCTCATTTTCCTTTCTCCTTTCCCCCAGAGTCCTGATCGTGGTGGACAGTCTAGGTCATCTAAAGAGTTTAGCGAAAGTGTGTGATACACCCAGCGTGCTGCAGTGTGTGATACACCCAGCGTGCTGCAGTGTGTGATACACCCAGTGTGCTGCAGTGTGTGATACACCCAGCGTGCTGCATTGGAAAGCCGAAGTACATGGTACTAGCTAAGTACAAGTACCATCCTAAACAGATCCACATCAATCCTTTCAACAAGTCTTCAGTCTAAACTACAGGACCCCAAAGTTCCAATCTGTGACTCAACAGAAATGGGATCCAGCAATCTCTATAAAAACCATGCTACATTTCAGCTCAGTGGTCAATGAGCTAACTCATCATTCACATGTACCTAAAAGGTTTAGCCAACTCAGCCAATGGGAATTCTACGCTCTTCTATAGAAACCCACCACCATACAATGAGCGAATCTACTCCTGACCGAGAGTACAGTGACCAAGTGTAAGGCTGACAAGCCCATGTAGTTTCTCTAATGGCACCACTCTAGAAACTACCAAAATCAGAACAGCAATAACGAGAATTGTTCCAAAGGTCTGTTTAAAAAAAATGGTCTGGGGATGGAGGCATAGGTTAGTGGTAGAGTTCTCACTTGGCATGAACCAGGCCCTGGGATCAAAAACTGTGCCCACCCTTCCAAACCTTCCAAAAAAGTTCTTATGGAAACAATAATTTTAAAGGTTATTGGGTATGGTAGCTCACAACTGTAACCCCAGCACTTAGGAGACTGGTGGAGGAGGATTATTATGAACTGAGGCTAGCCTGAGCTGCACATTAAGTTTTGGGTCAGCCTGCGCTAGCATCAGATCTGCCTTAAAAAAATCAATCAATCAAATACAAAGCATCCATATGAACAATTTAGACAGGATTTCTGATGTATGAAACTGACCTGACCCTAAGTTTTTTTTTCAATTCCAGGACACCGAACTCAAACTGAAATATGGCAGCTCACAAGGAGTGGACCACTCCCAAACCCACAGAGCTGATGACTGAATTTGGATGCCTGACCTAGGTGACAAACTCGTGAGTGGAGCCTACCTTCATGTCCCTTGAGGGTCGTGATAATCGAACAGGTGTTCTGCTCCAGCTTCAGCAGGGTGATCTGTCCCGAGTAATCACCGACAAAGGCATGCTGAGTATCCAGATCATACCTGAGGAGAAGCAGTCAAGGAAAGGTAACAGGACCCATTTCAATACACTCGCATACACCAAGCAAAGCCAGCCATTGACCGCAAACCTGGGATCACAATGTGACAGGCAATGAGCAAATGACAGTTAGGTGATAGGTATACACTGAAAGAAAAAGTAAGCAAGCACCAGATTCATAAGGAAAGCTAGCATCCATCCAACGGTTACATCGAGGACAGTATCATAGGAACCAGCCATAAAAATCATGAGAGCCGGTAGAGACGGCACACAGGCAATTACAGTCAAGTTCTAAGAAACCATTAAAACACACACACAATGGAACCGGATGTTGTTTTATGAAATATCCATAAAAATGATGTCATACTGACAGCAAGTACAGGACATGGACTTATCTTTCTTTTTGCCTAGATAACCCAACTTTAAATGACGACGACAGCTTACTTTACTTTCCGGGTGAGGAGTTCCGTAGTGCGGACTCAGCTATGTTGTGACAGCCATCTCGAAGCATATTAAGTACCAGTAGCAATTCATTCCTCTCTCACTCTGTAACCATGGACACTTGTAGGACACTAGTGCTGGATAGAAAACAACAGAGTGACAGCTATACAGCCGAGGTCGGGAGAACTACAAGCCAGCTGTGGCTGTGATCTTGTGCTGTGTTCTGCAAAGCCATTATGAGAGAGAGGTCTTATATGAGACAGAAAGACTCACTTAGAATATAACAGATGAGCACCTCTCCCTCGAGCCCAAACTGTATGGTGCTACTTTATATTTTTATCTTAACTATCTCATGTTGTGTATTCATTTGTAACAAAAATTAAGAAAGAAATTCTACAATTGTTTGTGGGAGAGGTGTGCCATGGCACTATCCATGATGCATGTGCAGAGGTCGGAGGACTATATTCGCAAGTTAGTTCTCTTCCATGTTGGACCCAGTGACCAAACTTGGGTTGTCAGACTTGGTGGTAAACACCTGCTCCGCTGAGCCATCTTCTTGGCTCATAACAAATGTTTTAAATGAAAATTTCTGATGGCGGAGCAGGGGGGAGGGGAGGGAAGGAGTTTCACTCTTCTATTCAACTATAAGAGAGAACTACACAGGGAGCTGTCTGCTGTCTGCTGCTCATCACCCTCATCCTGTCAGTGTATCTCCTGTCAGCATCGGTGCACACAGCAATCACAGGTCACCTGGAGCAGAGGTGCACTATGGGTAAAGCTGGAACGTTAAAGCAGGGATTATCATCATCTGGGAAATTCGAGGCACCTGTGAGAGTACGGTAAGAATTAAAGCCCCCTTTCAGATAAAAAAAAAAAAAAAGGCATAGAAGGCAGTTTTGTATGCTGCTCCTGGCCGCCCACTTGTAAAGCAGAGAGTGAGGCACAGTCTTCCATTTTGTAATAAAGGAATGAAGGGCAGGGCCTGCATTAGCCAGGTCCTACAACTTTGTATGTAAAAAAAAAAATTGACAGCACCCACAGAAAACACATTTATGTCATTATTTTTCACAGACAAGCTCTATAACCAAAGAAAAGGAGACCTGGAGGTTCTTGGATTTTAGGATAAATCCACAGGGGTCACTCTGTCTTCAGAACAGCTAACAATTCAATTCCAAATTAAGCAGCAGCAAGGAGGTGAGGTGGGGAGGCGAGGAGGGGTCAGGCACTCTGAAGGATACTGTAAACAAGAAGCCCACGATGAAAAGAAGTGCCGGCCAAGCATGTTCCCGCTGCGTGTGCACATCCAGCTCACACACTTGTCGTGGCCAGTGCTGATCACCCACTCGGCAGCCAGGCTGAAGATGATAGCAGACACTCGGTTCTGATGGGCTGCAGGGAGACAAAGGGAGGGTCAGTGCCCTTCAGGAAGGAATAGCTCTCCACAGGGAGAGAGCTGGGGCTCAGCCTCCACAGCATGAAAGTGACTATGCAGGCATGATCCCAGGAAGATCCCAGATAATCTGCCTCTTCCCAAAGCCCTGGACCACCCCAAATGGAAGACTATCAGAAGCCAGGAGCCATTGAGGAAACCATCTGTGCTCAAGAAAGATTCCAGAATCGAAAAAAGAGATTTTTTTTTTTTAATTATCTGCCCACCTATGTTCGAAGGAACATTTTAATTTTTGTTCTGACAACTTTAATATCCTGTCTATATGACAATTATGGGGTTTTCTCAACAGAGCAAAGGTGGGTTGTAGTTGGTGATTACTACAACGCATGACTGTTCCTGCCATGAAGGATGGATGTGCCCTCAAACTTTAAGATAACACAAACCCTCTTTTCTCTCTTAATTTGTCTTTTGTTAGGTCTTTGGTCACTGCAATCAGAAGAGTAAATTATATACCTGGCTAATATCTTTTGTACTTGTCTAACATAAGATATACCCATTTTAAAACAAATAATTATCAATAAGTTTTTTAAATTTTTTATGTATAGTTTTTTATTATTATTTGTAAAGACAGACCATCTGTAAAGTTCTTTGACGTAGTAGCTGAGAAAGGAAGAAGCTTTCCTATAACTCAGCCTCTGAAATATTTCCAGCTGATTCCAAGCCTCCCCCGGGCAGTAGCATGACTCTGCTTCATCTGGCATACAACTCTGCACACAGTTGGTATCTAATAAATGCTCTAGCTAATGAAGTTAGAGGCGAGAAACAGAAAAGGCGACCTTTGCCTCAGCTCTGTGAGCTGCTCCAGAAGAACTGAGAACATAGAGAGCCAATGTAATTGTCATGCACACAAACCACATGCTCCTGAAGACCCCGGAACTTCAAGGGTGCTTGCTGCAGCTCTCGGCTCTAGGTTCAAGCAAACAGACCCTGGTGGGTGACTGGGTGGCTAAGTGGCTTTTGTTTCACTTTTTTCTGATTTAATGGTATTTCTAATTTCCACAAACACAGGGTATTTATTAATTTCAGATACAAACGCTGAGAGATGTGGCTTTTATTCATAGAATAAATCTTTTAAGTAAAAGATGACTTTGATCTGACTGACCCCACTTTTTCCCACTAAATTCATGGCTGTCAAACTGGGGAAAGACAAGGTGTATCTCGGCTCATGGTCAAGACCTCAGGCTGACTCTCAGGAAGAGCTGTCCTGTTTACAGGCTTAGATTCTTTCTGTTGTTGAAGTTTTTCAATGTTTTCTTGAGGCCAGGATGGTGAATGCTTACCCTGCTTCACCCACAGTTTCTAAATTCTCCCTTGGGGTAAAATTAAAAATGTGGCAACCCTATTCAGGCTTCCACATGGTTTTTAAGATGTCATAAATCACCAATGAAATGCAAACATGAAAACCACCACAAAACATATAGCACACAGAGAACTCTGCCACCTTAAATACAGATTTTACAAAACGTTTGTCACATTTGTTCCAAAGGACACCCTCTAACTCAGCTACAGCACACTCCAACTGCATGGGAACAGAAGCACACATCTCGAATGGACATTCATGGAAAACAAATGACCAACACTAAGTAAAGCTCAGGCCATTTTAAAACTGTGAACTTTTCTATCAATCTGGTATCAAATAATAAGGCAGCAGTGTTGGGAAGATCCAGCAAGAGGGCTCCCCATGGAGCAGCACTTCTGCTTGGGAAGAATTAGCAAACACATTTCCATAGCATTAAAATAACTTTGTAGTGTCTGACCTGGCTCTTCTGCTTGCAGGAGTTGGTCTTAAGTAGAAGTCATCAAGATTAAACATCTAGAGTCATTGTCACAGTCGAGAGCACACACATTTATACATGTATTACACTATTAATTACACTCACAGACATGTGCATGTACACACAAACACATACATGTATACTGTGCTGTATGTTAATCAAAACCTGGAAACAGTGCATATCTTCTTCCAATAACAGAAAGAATGGTGAAATTAACTCTTGCACCATAACCCAATATACAAAACTGTAAATGCCAGGATGCAGGAAAGGATGATAAATGACTTATCTCTCACGTAACTAGTGCAATACAATGGAAATGTTAGCCTGGAAACCTACCTTATGTCATAGGAGAGGACATTCTAGCTTTATGTCTATGTATCTAAATGTGTACGTGTGCCAGAGTGTGTGTCATTACCTGGATAGGTCTTGATAAAATTCATTTTATTAAAATCTTCAGACACGTGAAATTCCTAAAAGCAAGCATACGCAATAAAAAGACAAGTTACAGTTCTTAAAACGACAGGAGCTCAACTTGAAAAATGAAGCAAGGTCCAAAGAGACACAGCGCTCAGGATGAGCTACAGAGGGGTGGGAACTGCTCCTCCCTGCAAACCTGTCCTAGGTCCCCTTTCCTTCAAGGAGAATTTCAACAGCTGGCATCCTACAAACAAACTGTGCCAGTTCAGACTTTAGTGCAGTGCTTCCTCCAGAGACCAGCTACGACCTAACTGCAAATGTTTGTTCATTTTTCTGCTTCAGCTCTACAAAAATAATTAATAAACCCCTCAAAATAATGGTTAAAGAACACAACATTAAAGACTTGTTATCAACAAAGTTGATGACTTACAGAATAGACATGGAAATGGCTCAGCAATTTAATGAGTAAAATATGCATGTTGTGTGTACAAATATATCCTCTAAAACACGAGTTTTAGAGATTGTGGAGGGTCTTTTGATATTTTTATTCTCCAAATAACTAGGAGGGGAGAAAAAAGCAAACACTTTTGTAACGCAGAGAATAAATGGAAGTCAAAAGAGAATGCATTAACTAGGACTCCTACTGGTCAATGTTAAATTGTTAAGGTGCTATGAAACACACAGATTATTAACTGTAGACTGACTGAGAGTGAGAAAAGCACACAGAAAGAAGGACAGACTTCCTGTCCTCAGTCTGGCTTTGGTGGATACCGAAGTTCATGAGTACTGTAAATGAGAATCTAGACAAAGTGGTAGGCCCACCTGGGGATCAACTGCTGACTGCAGCAGGATTAGCTCTGCACGGTCCCTTTGTGCTGGAGTCATAGCTTCCCATGTGCAGTAACAGCAGCCTGCCCTTCAACCAAAAACAGGACTTGAAGAATCCCTCAGAAGATGTGCAGAGACTACACACCGGCACCTGGAGAAGGTGCCTGCAGCTTACACTGAGGGTTTCTTATCTCAAGGGAGCATGTGTACCATCATGACATCCCTAGGAAGTCTTTGGACAGAGATAGGCAGAGCTTTGCCACTGACTGCTACTCTGTGTAGAGCAGTCCTTGCCCCCGGCCAATGCTGTATGAATCCCAGGGCAGCAGCCTATACCCTTCCTTTCGACTTTCTTCTTAGTCCTTAGACATAATCAAGGCATCTTTACATTAAAAGACAAATCAACAAAACAACAATGAAGCTCTTTGGCCTACACAAGATCCTTTGTGGTTTCTCAGTGGAACCCTTTTCTTATGGTCAGCTACACTAACCACTGACAGGCTTTCCACCATGATCCCTCTCCTACACCACGGTCCCTCTCCTATCACTCTGCTCCAAGCTTCTGTCTGTAACGAGAGGTGCTTCTTCCTACCCTGCTGGCTGCCTTATATATTTACTTATCTTCTTTTTAATTAACACGTAAAATACTAGATAAGCTTTAGGACACTTTCCAACACACTGTTTTGATGGTTCTCCCTGATCCACCATTTTGCCACCCCTCTGTCACCTCAGACCCTTTTCTTCTCTCATGACCTTTGTGTCTTTGTACCCAGGCTCTACCCTTCCCCTTTGCCAATCTTGATCTCCTTTCTAGCTTTATTAAGATTACTCACTCTTACGTCTGTTTATATATAAACACAGGCAGCTAATTACAGCTTGATCTCAACCTTCTCTGCTGCCTCTCTCCCGTCACCAGTTACTGTCCTGGGCCTTCCCTTCCTCTGTAAAAGGCATCACAGACCACTTAGTTCAAGCACCAAATCTGCGGTCACCTGACGTCTTCCTTCATGCCCTCAGAAATGCCAGGGGCCATGTTAAGTACTCCACTCTGTCTATTTCTGATGCCACTGCCCCTGACAGCCCAGACTCCTGGTTGCCATAGAAACTTGACTTCCCTTTTTTTTTTTTTTTTGACTATCCAATCCAATCTCCATAGAGCATAGAGTCAGTCCTTAAAGAATACAGCCAGACACAACAATCCCATCTATAACCCCATCACTCTAGAGGGTGAAGTGGAAGATTATAGCTTTGAGGCCAATGGGGGCTACACAGTAGATTCTAGGATCAGCCTAAGCAATGTAGCAAAATCTTATCCAAAAGAGGTGTGTGTGGGGGCGGGGGGGCAATGTGAAATACACTATAGCATTTGCCTGTCTAAAACTTCTTGATAGCCTCTCACTAAATTTATAATAAGATGTAAAACTTTATCTGCAGGCCTTGCATGACCAGGCTGCTATCCACGTCTTAGGTTTGCCTGGGTCCTTCCTCTATCATTCAGTACCACCCATCTAAGACGCCCTCTTCCATCAGACCTGGGCCCTCAAGGGAAAACTCTTAGAAGAAAAGATAAGCATGAAGTATCTGTGTGATAGGATCAGGCACACTCAGAGTAATATGGCCACAGGTTAATATATTCCTATGAAAACTAGAAAATGACCTTGAATCTGGTAATTAATAGCTTCATTGATATTGTAGCCAAAGTACAAGCAAGGAGAGAGAGAGAGAGAGAGAGAGAGACAGAGAGAGAGAGAGAGAGAGAGGAGAAGAAGAAGGAAGAGGAGGAGGAGGAGGAAGAAGAGGAGAAGGAGGAGGCGGCAAATTGAACTTTACAAAACTTAAAAATGAGTGAAAAGACAATCCTTAGGATAGGAGAGAATTTTGCAAATTGTATGTCTGACTGGAGTCTAGTATTCAGTACTAAGCAAGAACTTAGAAACTAAACCCAGCACACAGGATAGTGGCACTTGCTTCCAAGATCAGCACTTTGGAGGTAAAGGCATGGGCTATAAAGCATGGTATTCTCTATCTCAAAAATAAAAATAAAGTGGATAAAGGATTTCCTGAAATACTAAATATTCACCTCATGACACAGAAATTCCATTCCTACGAAGTCAACAAACTGAAAAATGCAGATTCACAGAGACATCCACAATGCTACAGTAGCCATGTCTGAGACAGTCCCACAAGGAGATAATCCCAATGCCAACCAACTTAGCAGTGGGCAAAGTGAGGTCGCTCTACTTAGGAGAATACTGGTCCACCACTAAAAGGGGTGAAGTAACTAATCCAAAATGCAACAGAGAAGACTCCTCAAGATACACATAAGAAGCTACATATACATGATTCTATTCACATAAAATGTGTAGGACAAACATTCTGAGAAAGTAGATTAGAGGCAGGCAGCAGGGAGATGCTCTGTGGAGTAACTGCTGATGGATGCAAGCATTCTGTGGGGGATGTGCAGATGGTCTGCAATTCCAAAGTGGTGGTGCTGACTTGATCTAATGACTATACAACACTACAGACCACGAAAATGTACATGTAGAATGATGGTCATCGTGATACAGAGTTATATTTTGTTTAAGGACAAAAATAGATATATACACACAAACTCAAAAAACACCAGTCAATAACAGACTGAAAATTTAAATATCCCATTCTTCACCAAAGGTGGTTCGAGGTATACTGCTTTCCCCAGAATCACAGAAGTTCCTGGATGAATAGCTGAGCCTTCTTCTCAGCTCTGTCTTACACAGACACACGTACACAGAGGTACGTGTTAAAGGTGGCAGCAGCTACAGGCCTCTAGTCCACTGTAAAAAGGCTGTGCTCTGTGGGTGACCCAAGCACTGAGACTCTAACCATGAGAGCATTTTGAGACCCATGGAAATTGATTTATAAACACTAATTAAATTGAACCCATCTTCAGTCTATCATCCATAATGAATTAGACACTGCTCATGACAAACAACCTGCTCAGCATAAGCAAGCATGGGGTAGTCTTACGCAGGACATACTGAATACATGGACCCTACTTACCATTACAGCCCCGTTATCCTGGCCCACAAATATCCGCCTGCTGTCGTGATGGTAAGCCATAGCAGAGCAAGGAGCTGTGGAAAAGATCAAGACTACATCATGAGAAAAGCTAAGCACTGGAAGCCATTGTTTAAAGTACACTGCTATTAAGAAGAGTTATGTGGGTTAGGTTAAAAAACTAGACATAAATGCTTTATGAAAAATAAATTTTCCACACTGAAAATATAACTGAGGTTCCCCATGATTTAAATTCTAAACTGGAACGCTTGAGTCTTCTCACAGTTACTTCTAGAGTTCTGGTGATGTGAGGCGGCATGAAGTCTCGTCTGGGTGGAACTCCCCCCCCCCCCCCCCCCCCCCCCCCTAGCATGGATGGCTCCGGGAACCAGTGCTTCTGCGCATCACGCTGCCCTGCCGCCCTTCCCCAGAAAAGACCAATGATTAAGTGGACTCTAAATATGAAGGGTACTGGCATTTGAATTCCAATCCTGTGGCATGTGTGAGCAAGCCAGGAAAGCCACCACAGGATTACATTTTCCCAGTAGAAAAAAAAAGAATTACTCCCCTTTGCAACAGCACACAGCCGCTGTAGTGAGCAGAGCTATGACTGATATTACCAGTATCGGCCTCTTTCACAAACACACCCATTGTGGCCAGCCCAGCTCTCTTCCAGGAATCATGGGCAACAAACTATGTTTCTCAAACAAGAGAAACTCCAAATTGTCCTCTGAAAATTGGAAGGAACAAGATTCCTAAAACTGAATATTTGGAGACAGAACTGTTTGGGTTCACTCAGCATAAAGAATTGAAACTAACAACAAAAGCAGCACACAGGAAAACACAGGGGGAAATGAGCCAGATGTGTGTGGCTTGAATTAAAATAAAGGGAAGACGGGCTGGGAGGTACAAGCTGGTAACTGAGCAGTGGGAAGGCAGAGGGAGGAAGATCACAAATTCAAGGCCAACTTGCAAGTCGCATGCTGCTGGGCTGCATGCAGAGCATTGTTTCAAAGCCCAAAAGGAAAAGCCAAAAAGAAAAAAAAAACTTCAAAGGAAGTTTCCTCATTCCAATAGGCTTATGCTTTTTTTAATCTGTGTGTCTGTCTGTCTGTCTGTCTGTCTGTCTGTCTGCCTGCCTACCTACCTACCTACCTACCTACCTATCTATCCAATATGGTGGCCAGGGTGGGCAGCAGTACATACCTCTTAATATACATGTATGTGTGCATGTGCCAGAGGTAGCCATTAGGTATCTTTCTTTGATCGCTATCTTTACGATTCTAAACAGCATCTCTCACTGGGCCCGTAGCTGACCAATTCAGCCAGGCTAACCAGCCAATGAGCTTCTGGGACCTGCCTGTTTCCACCAACTTTTCTATCCCGTGCCCTACAATGCTGATGATACAGGCAAGCAGCACTATTATGCCCAGCCTGTGGGTTCTGGGGATCTGGACTCAGGTCCTCTTACTTGTGTGGCAGACACTTTACAGGCTGAGCAATCTCTCCAGTTCTTGGGCTCATATTCTGCCCATGAAAATATAAAATATAACACAAAACTGTACCCAGAGACAACTGTACAACTACACATAGGACTACTTCAGTTGCATTCGAGAGTGCTGTATGTGAAGGTAGATACTGACATTATACAAAAACATAAAAATAAAAAAAATAAAGAAAAAAATTGGTGATATATCACCAGTAGTCTCCACCAGGCACAGAGGCACAGGACGATAATCCCAGTACCCGGGAAGTAGAGGTAAGAGAATTTCTGAGAGTTTGAGGCCAGCTACATGTATTAAGTTAGGCTGTCTGAATTAAAAGATAATTATAAACACAAACACACTGCTATACACACAGACACACATGACATCTCACAATTAAAAAAGCAGTTGCTATGATGATTTAAGACTCACTGTTACCAGCTTTGCTTTCTTATCAACTGATGATAAATTTTGGTATTGACTTCAAGGCTCAGTTCTTCTGATGCCTGACACTGTCATAAAACCACATAAATATGTAAAATTCCTCACTTTGTAAAAGTGTCACTGCTGAGTAACTGTATGATGCTAGAGACTTGCTACATTTGCTGCTGTTGTTGTTACTGTCTTGTGTGAGTAAGTCAGGGCACACGTGTGAGGCAGTGAACATGTGGAGATCAGAAGACAACTTTCAGGAGTTTTCTCTCTCCACTGAGGGCTCCAGAGACCAAACACAGGTGGTCAGGCTCATACGACATATACTTATCCACTCAGCCATCCCGTAGACCTACAGTTTTTGAGTTAAAAAGCTTCTCTAGTTTGGTTTGGATATAGTAATACCATTCCCTCCCTCCCTCCTTCCTTCCTTCCTTCCTTCCTTCCTTCCCTGGATTTGAGGTTTCTACTGGGGTAAGCAATGTACAGTTTAGAAACAAGGGTGGATGGGTCAACTACTCACACAGCTTTGCAAGGAGGAGAAACACAAGACCATCTTTCAAACTAATGGCAATCTATACATAAAAGGCACCTGCGAGTCTGAGATCACACATGTAAAACTCAGAGCAGACAGCCAGATGCACCCACTGAGGTTCTAGGCACAGTCTGTGGTGCTGGAGCCCAGGAGAGCTTCTCCCTGTTCACTATTGCTTTCATACTATAACGGAGAGCTGAGTGAGTGGCCAGAGACCGTCTGGTCCATGAAATCTCGATATTGCCATCAACACTGTACATATGTCATCTGTGGATCCATCTCATCCTTTTGGTGGGCAGCACGGTTCTCCAGTCATAAGCAGTGGTGCATCAGAATTACAGCCACAAGCAATTGACTCAAATCTCTTCAGCCTCAATTTCCTTATCCATAAAATGGCTGTTATAATGACATCATCAAATTATATTTGCCAAGGAAAAAAAGGCCCGGTGCATAAAGGAAGACAGAAACTGAGTCTTCATCTTTTCTCAGCCACAGCAGAGTCTGAAAGTGACTCTTGCTAAGGGAAGTAAGGTTATAGAGCAAGACTGGCCATGCGGGGCAAGATATTGTTACCTTGGTCACAGGAAAGTTGAACTTGGTAGATGGCCACTAAACATCTCAGATCCAGTAATCTGCAGATAGTTTGTAGAAACGACATTTTTTTCTTGTATTTTAAACTTATTTATCCAAGAAATGTCATTTGAAATAACAGTTGCTTTTCATAAATCATGCGCTGTGTCTTTAGTGCCGTGCTACTGCAGCACAGGCGCCAAAGAGTGACTGAGTTGTGCATGGAAGCTCATGACTGGGACCCCAGCAATGGGGAGGAAAAAACAGAAGAACTGCCTTGAGTGCAAGGCCAGGTTACAGAGTGTCATCTTGTCTCACTTAACAACTGCAACAACAGAATGCATCAGCAGCAGCTGGAAACAAGCTGACCATGGACAGAAGCACACTTGGCATGCAGGTGTGAGCCAGCATGAGACCAGAGACTATTCTTTCCAGCCCTTCCTTCTGTAACTGGGAACTACCTCAGGAAAGCCAGTGACACCCAGTAAGATGGATGGGGACAAAGAGAACCATGGTCACATGCTCAAGATCTAACAGCCATGCTTGGGTGTTGGTGCCCTAATGGGAGGAAAAAAACCATCAATCAGAAGAACAGGGGCCAGCAAGAGGGCTCAGTGGTTAAAGGCATTTGCTGTCTCATGGTAGAAGAACAGATTTCCACATGCTGTCTTCTAGACTTCCACACAAAATAAATAGATGAAATGTATTACTTTTAATTCACAATAAAGTTGTAAAAAATATTTGGAGGTTGGAGGGCTAGGAACATAGTTTCCCAACACTGCAGGTAGAGTCGGGGGTGGGTGGGTGGGAGGGATACAACTTACAGAAAGTAATAACCAATGAGGGGCATAACTATCTCAGTCTATGGTTCTAAGGAACATGGGCCTCAGTGTCCAGGACCCAAGAGGTTGTTATGACCAAAATATGTACTACAGAGAAAAGCAGGGGGTCAGGGGGTGGGAAGAATAACACCAACAGTGCCTGAGAGGTGTCCCGCCATGATGACAAAACATTGCTGGTACTGGGATGAGTTCTCAGACCATTGCTTCCTTCCAGCTATCAGATTTGTGGCTGGGCCACTGGAAATAAGAAGATCTCTGTCCAGTAGAAGAAACCTATTGGGTGGCTGTTGTAGCTAAGGAGGCCCAGAGGATAGCACCTCCTGTGGCTCTGTTGCTCAAACAGGCTCCTTAAGTACTTTAAGACATCGGGTGCTTCCTATTTCAAGGGGAGAATTTGGTGTAAGAAACCAAGGTTACACAACCACAATACATGCAGACATAGGTGAAGAGAAGGTTCTACTATCTGGCGTACTGTGAGCAGCCTTTCAGGGAGTCTTCCGATATGCTCAGTGTTCCATTGCAAACTTAGCTTTAAGCAGGATTTCATTTTTACTTAGTGATATTATAAACATAACAAAGTTGACCAGCTGTCCAAAGCTCTTGGACCGTCTAACACTGATAAACCACTGACTTTTGGCAGAGATTATTACAGGATCCAACACTGCACACACAATGAATACATGAGTGAATGCTGAGAGAGGAGAGGTGTTCGGAAGGATGATTCCCACTGTCCGTGCTGTGCTGAGTGACTGGCAATCCGTACTGACACAGATTTTACAGTTTTGGAATGCTCAGAAAAGCTGTGACCAGTGTCACCAGGACTAGGACAACTGTCACAAGCCCTCTTACGTAGGAACTTCACAATGACCTTCAGTAACAAACCATTAAGCTCAAAACAAATCCTCTTCTGTTCCTAGGGGGTCATCTGATAGTGGAAGCCCTTAGTTCAAGGAAACCCCTCATTAAGGAACAGCGCCTGAAGCAGCCCCACAGCTGTGGCTGTTCACTCAGGAGCTACAAAAAGGCTTATGTGCTCCACATACTCCTTTGGTTTTTTTTTTTTTTTAAAAATCCTTTTTTTTTTTTTTCCAGTTTTGGGCCTGTTTCAGTTAGGCTGGTAGACCAACTGCCTCTGTAAAAGGAGCTTTCCTGTGGCTTATTATAGCCTGTCAGAAGTCTTGGACAACAAAGGCACTCATTCTGAAATCCAGTGGCAATTTTTAGCCAGGTCTTCTAAAATTTAAATCACCCAAGGGGTCAGAAACAAGGTCCGTATGTGGAAAAGTCTATGACTTACAGGCCATTGTGTGGTAGATGCTGGGCCAGTACTGGCCGCTGTCTCTCTTCAGCCATACTCGGATGGTTCTGTGGAGACAAAAGGGTGTGGGGTGCTTAGTCATTTTATCTCTATTTAAACCCTCCTGAAGGGCATGCAATAGTGAGCTGGACAGAATTGATCATTCTAATACTAAAAATCAGCACACACAACGGACGAGAGCTGAGGCCTGTGCCCAGTACTCACAGACACATGTGTCGTCTTTAAACATCTCCCAGTGGCCTCGGACTCCCCACACACATCAACTTTTACCTCACACACACAGCATTCACATCTCTACAGAGTCAGTAGTGCGAAGCACGGTAACCTCAGTAGAGAAAGTTTGTCACAATGCTTTTGAAAAGGCTTATTCTCCAAAATGTGCATAAAAGATGTCTAAGTCATGAGAACGGTCACCCTCAGTGGATTCCTCGGCATATAATTGGGCTGTCTTTGTTTGTGTTTCAGGACAATTCTGTTTTTAATTAAAAAATTTAACATCCTCTGATTGATCTTACAAAGTTATTCAAAGAGAAATATATACATATACAGACAAAAGTTAATATATTATGTATGGTATACATGTATAATTACATTATAAATTATACACAGTATGACTATTTTAATTTATATAATATCCAGAAGTCAAGATGTCAAATAATTTTAATAATGTAGAAATGTTCATTGTATAATGGCATACAAAGAAAACAGAACTCTCAACTACTTTTCTGGGTAAAACAAATTGTGTCAACATAGTCACCTGTCAGTCTCACTAGGAGACATTGGGGAAAGCATCATGGACACAAAGAAGAAAAGCTGGGTACAGGGACACATGCCCAACACCCCTGTAGTGGAAGACTAGAGCATGAGAATGGTCACCATGGCTTAGAGGCCAGCCTAGGACACTATAGCAAAACCCTATCCCACAGAAGCAAAACCAGAAAAGAGGGCTATGCTTATAGAAATGGAGTGGGGATGGGGAAGGAGCAGGGGTGTAAGTGCCTCAGTCAGTGAGAGGCTTGGCTTATCCACAATTCCCAGCCTCCTACCCTGGAGGAAACTGTCCTGCACTCTCTGGCTTCTCTCTCATCAGAACACTCACGGACTCTGAGGATATCCTGTGTGTGTGCAGCAGTGACAAAGGAGAGCAGAGTCAAAGGGCAGCATGCACATGGACTGCAAAGGCGAGCACTGGGGCCAGCCTGGGGGTTCTTCTTCCCTAGTTCCCTCTGGGTCCTACATTCTAGTGGTGTCTGCTTTACCACAGGCTTCTCATCACCCACTGTTGTTCTCAGACTGTCATGTTTCTATTCCTAATAACAGGCTGGCAAGTGATTCACTGGATAAAGATGCTTGCCACAAAGAATGAAGTCCTCAATCCTTGATACCCAGTAGAAGGAGAAAACTGACTTCATGGGTTCTCCTCTGACCTCCATCCCTGTGTCACACCCACACGGACATACACATAAACACAGAAACAAATAAACGTCTATTTCTAACAGCAACATAACGGTTTGAAAATGTTTAGACCAGATTTCCATCTGTTTACCTAGTTATTTCTTTCTGAAGTTCTAGACAAGTAAAATTGTTCCGTAGAGACAAAACTCAGGAATGGCTGATGGCTTCTGCGGAAGCGAGGCAGACTGCAGAGATGTGAGGGAGCTGTCACCAGAGAAAACGAGGAGGCTCTGGGGATGGTCACTAGAGCTGTGTCCACACAGTAGAGCATGTCCTACTACTCTCAACATCTGTAGAGACTACTGTGCGTGGTTAAAGGGATCTTCACTTCCTAGATGACACAGTATATCACCCTACTTTATTTTATGTACATGTTAAGCCCAACAGAATCCGACCAGGTTGCTAGATCCAGCTACTACTTTCAGCACACAGAGAGGACAGAAAGACAGAAGAACCTGCTAAACACCACAACAAAGGTAGTTCAGCAAAATCAAGACTGGGAAAGTCTACATACAAAAGATACAATTCCTTCTACAATAATTTGAAAGGGAAAAGAACCAAGACAGACAGAGTGAGTTCCAGGACAGCCAGGACTACACAGAGAAACCTTGTCTCAAAAAAACCAAAAAAACAACAACAACAACAACAACAAAAACCAAGACAGAAGGGCAAGCTTAAGAAATACACCAAATATACAACGTGGGAATCTTAGTTTAATTCTGATTTTAAAAACAAAACTAAAAATAAACCATAAAGTAATCAGAAATGTGAACAACAGTAGATATTTCCTGATGTTAAAAATAATTAATAAATAATTATATCTTTCTTTAAATATAACAATTGTAATTATGTCACTGTTTAGGTTTTTGTTTGGGAGGTTGTTGGTTTGTTTTGTTTTGTTTTATTTTGACATGGTGTTGTTACTACTATGTTACTCAGATTGGCTCAGTCAGGATCCTCCTGTCTCAGCCTCTGTAGTATGGGATTACAAGTGTGTACACCATGCCTGGCTAATGTTTTGTCAAGAAACAAAGAACATCATGTTGTTGTTTCTCTCCTGTCTTCAGCTTGGCCACCTCTGTCAGGGCCTGTCACTCACACCCTAGTCTTCTCTCATGTTGCCTTTTGGTTTCTTTCCCAGCCCAGAGCTCACCTCTGGTATACCCAATGCCAACTACACATCCCAAAAGGCCACACTTTACCCCACTATTATTGTACTCAACATCCAGTACTGGTGATCTCAAACCCAGGATCCAAGTGACAAACTTAGATCCTGTGACTCTCCAGCTCAGGCCCTGAAACTCTCCAGTTGCCATATTTCAAGTCTCCATGTGGTCCTCTCAGGTTATGCCCCACAACCTTTTCCCTCACCACTCTACCATGAACTTCTCTCTACAGACTGGTCTGGTCCTTCTAGGTAGATGATAGGGTGGATACTATTTCAACACAAATCCTTCTCTTAAAACCTCAATGGAGCATACAAGGATTAGCCTGAGATTTGATTCACCAAAGGGGCCTTACCTGTGCTGACTATACTCCATGTTGCTTAAATCAGAAATGTTATGGCTACATGTCAGCACAATAAATGACACCAAAGCAGTGTAATAAATAAAAGGCCAACTCCAAGTCGTGCATAAAGTCCACTCAACAATCCTTGCTCCTGCCTGATTCCCAGGTACAAAGGCCACATGTGAAGATCAAGGGAAGCTCCATGCAGCTCTCCTTTAAGTTCCCTGGCTTAATTTGCAACAGGGCCACCACAGAGTTGAATCTGGCCGCTATCACGTCAACATTTCTAAGCCTAAGGAAGAAGATGATTTCGGTAATTCACTAAAACTGTTGCCACGAAGGTCATGGATTTAGCGGAATACACTTTCCCCTTTGTGCTCAGAAAGGGCAACGTTCAGACATTAGGAAACCCAGTGTTGAGGGAATGATGTTAAAAGCCCATCTCTGCCACACATCACTGGACCTGATATCCAAGATCGACCTTCAGAATGATATTTAACCTAGCCCAAGGTCAAACTCAGATCCCACTTACCTAGACTCCAGCATTTGGAAGATGGAATCATTTTTCTTTGTAGAACAAACAGCATACAACTTGGTTGGCACAAATCTGAACCTGGGTAGGACTCAAACAGCAAGCTAGGAAACTGAAACGTTTACCTTCAAAACCATTTACCATATAAGGACAGAAAAGGACAACCTCGCTGGGTACTAGAATCCAGGTTTATGACCTTTACCCAGACTTCTTGCTTTCAAACCATACCTTTCACCTCCTGTGCTGCTAAAATCTTCCATATCTATGGGTCAGTCAAACTAGCATTAAATCTTACCCTGGGATTCTCAAGAATCTACATGTTAAACCAAGTTTTCCGATGTTACAAGTTACCTTGGAATTTGTTTCCATATTATGATCAGTGCTTCTCCTTGGCTTAATGGGAATATAAAAAATAGGTTTCTTTTTCTTCTTCTTCTTCTTTTTTTTTTTTTTTTTTTGGTTTTTCGAGACAGGGTTTCTCTATGTAGCCCTGGCTGTCCTGGAACTCACTCTGTAGACCAGGCTGGCCTCGAACTCAGAAACCACCTGCCTCTGCCTCCCAAGTGCTGGGATTAAAGGCGTGCGCCACCACTGCCCGGCCTAAAAAATAGGTTTCAACTGTGCAAGTTACTAAGTTTAAGAAATCCCAGGCTTAAAACAACAACAATAACAACAACAACAAAGTGAACACTTAGCAAATTAGAAACAAAGCCTGCTATTCCGTAAGTTACAGGCAACACTAACAGTTGTGTGATATTTTACTACATGTGAATTACTCAAAATCTTACAAGTACATAAGCAGGCTGCACTAAGTACTGAGATCTGATGGTTCTGTGGCCTGTAAGCCCAGTGCTTTCTGAAAGACCTATGTTGAAGTTGTTTCCTCACCTGTGATGAACTAATCCAACAGAATATTTCTTTACTACTTGACAACTCTCTACTCCCACACCTAAAGTCAGGTCCTGTTTTCCTTGACACCTTTTCTATTATTCATCTAATGGCTGAATCATCTCTGATCCTCCAAGACCCTATGAGCCTAAAAGAGAAACTTCCTCAAAGAAACATCTCAGAATCATTAGTTTTTCCCAATGCCTGTTTTCAAACAATAGTCTGTTTTTCCAAAGATACTTGGGACGGAAGTGCATCTTTCTAAGCCTATATAAACAGCTTACAGGTTGACACACAGCCCTAGCCCTGTGGAGGGCTTTACCACCAATCTAGAAGAGGACGGAACAGCGCAGAGCTGAGATTGCTTCCATTGCTGTGAGAGACTGCGTTGCTGTACTGTAAATCTCCCACACTAGGTGTCTGTGTCCTCCACAGCTGTGGAGAACAAAGCAGGAACAACTCAAACAGTACTGACTGCCCACTGCAGGCTCTGAGATTGTGTCAGCATTTTAAATTAGAATCTTTTAGCAAGAGTTTGGCTGCACGTACCTTGGCCCGATCACAAAAGGTGAGAAAAAAATAATGGCAGGATCAACAATATGGATCATTGGATGGAGGACTTGCCTCTGAGCGGGATGTCCGGAGTTCGGTCCTCAGAACTCACAGTGGTAGAAGAGAACCAACCAGTACAAATGAGTGTTTACTACGTTTCAAAGATGACAAACTGTTGGATTCAGGGATTTTAAGCCTGATAACTGGTTCTGAAGAGAATCAAATAGAGAAAAAAACAGAATCAAGATTTGTAAAAAAAAAAAAAATGTAAATAATGAAATATATTGGCAAATGGCATAGTAATTTAATAGTTTAGTCACTAAAAATAATTATGAAGACTAAAAGGGATGGGAAAATGTGAATAAAATGTGGTTTTCTCTTTTAATACTTTTATTTGAAGTGTGTGTGTGTGTGTGTGTGTGTGTGTGTGTGTGTGTTGAAGTCACCACTTTAGTCCATACGCATGTACACATCACAGAGATGGAAGTCAGAAGAAGACAACTTATGGGAGTCAGGTCACTCCTTCTACCATGTGGATTCTGGAGACCCAAAGTGGTTTCTCAGGCTTGGTGCCAAGTATTTTTATTTATTGACCCATCTTTTAGACCAAAATTACTCAGTTTACCTTAAAAGAGCTGAGTTAAAGTTAGATAGCTAAGTTGTATAAAGCACACTCTAGCTCTGCAGCTATAAGGTTGACTAATCAGAAATAGACAGTGAGGGGAGGGGACACGAGTGTAGTAGCAAGCACTGACTCTAGATCCTTGTTAGGATATGAGGGCAGCAACACAGAGCCCATGGGGACCTTCTGGCAAACTCACAAGTACCCACTTTGGAATGAGCGCCAGGATTGGATTTTGCTTAGTGTTCAAGTGTGGCTATCTAAAATAGCAAACACAAAAATACTCCATGCCTTAAGAATGTGTCTGTCAACATCACCGTTAAAAGCAAACACGGCTGAGGAGTACAAACTGAGAGAAGGATTAAGCTGTTTGCAGCCTCAGGCACAAGAATCAGAGGCAACTTAAAGTAAATGATGGATACTTTCCCTTCTTAACAAGACTACTCTAGAGACTTCTATGTGTCAGACTAAGAACTCAGTGGTCTGTTGTCCATCAAGGTGAACTTGTGCCTAGGACAGGCTTGGGAGTCAGGGACATCCTCGAGTGTATCAGGGGGTCACATTTCCTGCGGGCCACTACAGATCAGGGAAGGGACTCTGGCCTCCACAAGGAGACATACATGGAAGGAACAGCTAGAGGTTTGTGAATGGATTAGACCCAGATAGGATCACTCCCAAAGGAGCAGAACACGGTGCCTGCAGACAAAACCTAAGAAACCAGATGCAAGAAGGCTGGGCAATAGATTCTCCCAAAAGGCTGAAAGATGTAAGACAATAAGCTTCTACCCTCTAAGTTTGTCTCTGCTGAGCTCCTGTAAGTTCAAAGCACTGAACTATATGTAGATACAGACTTCTTGCTTTCTAAAGCTACACAGGTATTCCGAAAAAGCTCATGATCTGCAAAGAGCAAGCTACTCTGTGGCAAAGATGATGGACATTTTTACCTCCAGTTTATGCTTTAGGGGACAGAAATAAGCAGAAAGCCATCTCTTACAAATACAAGCCAGTATGTCTGACTATCCAGCTGCCTTGTCCAGTTTTATCCAGCTCTTACTAGGTGATAAAAATCTCACAATGTAAAACTTTCTTTGTACAAAATCTTTCATAAAAGATACAACTCAATTTTAAAAAGCAGCTTTGCATGATTTTTAAAAAGTAAACAAGCCTTTCTATATATTTCCATATATGTTCCCTTAAAGCAGCAACTCCCAAACAAAGGAAAACGAAGCACTGCTGAAGACCAGCTTTGACACCAAAGAATGTCGATTACAGTCCGAATTAGTGCTGACGGCAGCTGACGGGTGTCGGTGCCGATAACACCCAAAGAGGGCTGCAGCTGATGGCAGCCAGTGATTAGAGAAGAAAAGGAAGAAAATTCAAGCATGCGCACATATACACGGAGAATGGTTGAAGCAAAGACAAGCTCCAGCAACTTCACATATACAAATACACAGATATACACACACACACACACACACACACATACAGAGGGCATATACATATTCATACACTGGGTGGCTGGAGCAAAGTTCCAACAAGCATGCTCCAAGCATTTCACATATACATATATACACATATATACACATACTTGGTGGGTGGATAGAACAAAGTTCCAACAAGCGGACTCCAAGCATTTCATGCATATATATACATACATACCTATACACACACACACACACACAGTTGCTGAATGGAGCAAACTCCAACACAAAAACACACAAACAAGTAAAACAAACTTTACATATACACAGATTTGATGGATGGAACAGAGTTCCAACACATTCTCCACAAACCATACACATACACATACATACACATATACATACCTTACACATATACATACATAGTTGATGGGGGTAGAAGAAACAATGTTCCAACAACTGTATTCTTTCTCCTATGGCTTATATGTCCCAGCAAAATCTTTCAAGCAGTAAAAATTACAATGTGATCACGCTCTAGTTCTCTTCTAGTGAATGACTATAAAAAATAATATGCTCCCCAATACCTTTACAAGAAATAACATTATATAGTATGGGTAAAGAAAACTAATTATTCCCAAGAACCCATGTACACTCATAACTAAGCAACTTGTTATAGATTAACAAAGTGTAAGGAAGCAAGGTAGTTTTCTTAACCAATTTCTCTTACTGGCAGGCAGCAATCTGCAGCTACAAAGAAAGGATTAATTATTTTATTATTTATCTTTAAAAGTAATCTTTTAGAATCTTAAAAGAATCACAAGTCTAAACTTTTATATAAAAATCAGCCATACCTGCTTTAAATCCTCAGAGTGCATATCTACTCATCAGCAATTGATACTATCAGAAAGCTAAGGGCAAAACTGGACTGAGGAACCAATCACCAACTGTCCAGCCTCAGTGAGAGTCAGGTGCTGTCACTGTTCTTGTTCTCTGACCACAATGGGCCCCTAACTCAACTAATAAGAGTGTGCCTTTTGGAGCTTCAGATTGTTCCCTAAGATTTTCTACATTACAGTAGCAAAAACATCTTAACCTGGCTTCACTATCATTTTATTTTCCCAAATTTTTTCTAAGGCGGTCATTGCTGACAATCTACACCTGTAAGTTCTTTCTTAGGGTGGTGACAGAATCATTAATCTGCTCCAGCAACAATGCCTGAAAGAGATCAAGCATTATTATTGTGAGTATCAGAGATACTGTCCAGTGAGGGGCTGGACGCCCCCTTACAGTTTCCATACAGTTCTTAGATTAAGAGGGATGTGAGGTCAGCAAGCAGAGCAGAACTCCGTAACAGCATGAAGTCTTCCGGACATGTGGTCTTCAGGGTCGCACCCATTGTGGCTGTGCTAACTAGTAGGACGAATTCCATGAGGTCTAAAGACATTTGTCTTCCTCCTGGATGACCCTAAGCAAAGCATTAAATAGTGTGTGTGTTGTGTGTGTGGGTCTCCTTTAAAAGAGATTCAGGGCACAGAAAGATCTAGGTTGAACTAGACTTGAGCTCCAAATCTTAAAGAAAATTTGGCTTTTGTGATAAACAGGAATGGTGATACTAATAAAATCCCTCACTACCTCAAGGTGTGGATTGAGCTGGACCTAGCATGAAATATGACGTTTGTGACAGGTAACTGTGTTTGAAGTGTGTTCGACTCTTTACCCCTTTCTGCTCCATGCCCTTTACTATCTGATAGCACAGCCTTTCCCATGGGGGCAGAAGCCTTCTCTCTGACTCCTCTTGGTAGGCTGCCTGGTGTCTGTAATGGCCGATGGGTTATCTGAAGTGATGGTGGAGCTCTTCTGAGAAAGGCCTTTCCTGCTAGGGTGGGGGTTGGTATAGCCTGCCTCGGAGTAACTATGACAGGTAACAAAAAGTGCGTGTTGGGGGTGGAGGTTGGTATCCTGCTGAATTACCCCTGACAAGCCTGGAACAAGCTTCAGTGGCTGAGGCACAAGGCTGTTCACAAACATGAGTGAGCCTAACTGAGTCAGAGAAACCATGCCACTGCCCTACATCTCATGAGAGTGAAACACCTGCTGCTTTAAGCAGCTGTTTTGAGGAGGTCTGTGGATACCAAAGGCTACCTAATACAGATGGAAAGAATACATTTCAAAATACTTTGGAATCACGCTTAAATAGTCAAAAAAGATTGAAACATACTTTGTGTGCCAGCATCTCAAGCTAATTCTTCACTGGAATACAGAATCCCCACTTGGCATCCACCCAAACTAAATTCTCTAACATCTGAAGAGGGCACAGGAAAGCACTTCATAATACTTGTTAGCCAAGGGAAGGCTTAGGTGCGTTTTGTTACTATCCTGTGAACTGCAGACTCAACGCCACAGCCCTGAGTCAGAACTAAACACTCATACCATGGAGGTCAATGTACGATCTACAGAAAGGCACACCTGAGGATCAGAGAGGAAGGCTCACTTTTCTTTCCTTCAAATGCTCTCAAAGACTTAATCCAACCAAGGTTAAAATCTACAGTAGGGAATGACGAAGCTCTCCTCCATGAGCTCTCCTCCTTGTAAGCCACACTGGAGTGAGAGTAAGGAAGCTCTCCTCCATGAGCTCTTCTCATTGTAAGGCACACTGGAACTGGAGTGAGAGTAAAGATGGAAGCAAAGCGTGGTCCTCTTCTTCAAGGCACTGACTCTCACTCCAGGAAGCACCTAGTAGAACTATTTAGTCCGATTCTTCATTTGGCAACACCCGTGAGGACATACATTTGGGTGTGTTACATATTTTCCAGAACACATTATGATACCTGAATGGTAACCTTGAAGAGCACATGCCCATCTGTGGTCTCCAATGGCACTTAGGTATTTCTGAAGAATCCGAAGTCAAGCACACCCCACTTCCAATTAGTGTCTTTCACCAATTTTCCTCCCAAGACAAAAAGGATAAAGCAATTTAATCATTCTAATTTCTAATTTTATGCTGATAACTAGGTAGTGTTCAACCAATTAATTAAAAAGCAATTTTTAGTATATACAATCTGCTACAAAGTTAGTCCAAGGTACCAATTTGTATTAAACACCAGATAAACAGTAACTACGTAGAAAGCTGATTTTTGTGACCTCTTGTAGAGACACTGGTACT